CTTCTCCTTGTTTAGTTATTTACCTCTGTAATTTTATTTTATTTGTTTTGGAGTCTAACTAATTCAGATTTACATTGTGTAACTGCTTAAGACGTCTAATGAAATAGAAAGCGCTACTATTAGGATTTTTTTTTCATTTCAACGGCTCGAATATGACATTTCTTCGTCCCACTATAACTCTGATGGTAGTGTAACGTTGTATGATTCATCGGCATTCAAATGTAAAGGGGTCGGTGTAGTATTCCAAATCGTGAATTTTCTTCTGAGTTAGATATATAGTTTCCATTGCCCCAATTGCAGACTTCCAGTAGTAGTAGTTTTTTTTTTCTTTTTTTTAGAACGTAGCATGTTCCCACTAGTAACATTTTTTTTTTTTTGAATGTAGCATTTTTCCACTAGTAGCTTAACCACACCAAAGATTGTGGTGTTGTGACAATGATGATGCCATGATTTTTATTATAACCTCACACGAATAAATTAAAAGGAATTGAACATATACTATATATTTATAAAAATAATTTAGCCAAATTTAAGTATCATTTTTCATTAGCTAATCTTTTGGTCCTATTTGGCTCCGCCCTATATAGTGGTAAGTACTCCTTCTTAGTTAAAGATTTCAGGTTCAAATAGTTAGTTTGGTAAAAATTATTTTATCCCAAAATTAAAACTTTTTTATGTGAATTCGAATTGATGGCAGCCCAACGGGGATAATGTTGTGGGAGTATTTTGGAGAAATGGATTATTTGATGGTTTTAGGTCTTTAAGGATGTTGTACCAAATTGTTTGATAGACGTACGTATCTACAAGAAGACAAAGAAAAGGTTTAATTACCCTCGGTATTAATAGTGGACCAAAAAGCCCGGGCACAATTTAGTTCGGTGTTCAACCACAAGGACAGTAAGAGTCATTTGGTTGAAAGCCACCGCTGGCGTTGAGTTAACGCCTTTATTTGAATTCACACAGTATTACAATTCTAGGGTTTTTCGTTCTCGCGCTCTGCAACCTAAAACCCCCCATTTTCAAATCTCAGTTCCTCGTCTTCCAATACATCCAGGTATTCTCCTTTCTCTCTGCGTAATCAATCTATTGCAAACTTTGAGTTATGTTTAAATAATCGAATTTTGAATGCGAGTTTTGCAAATTGTATAAGTTCCATACAACAAATTGAATGTATTTCGTTTTTTCTCAGATAGGTTATTTATACGCACCAGCATATCCTGTAGTTTCGTTAGTTAATGTTCAATCTCTGAGAATTTGATTATATCTTTAGGACTGAGAGAGAATGAGTACAGCAGTGCGAACCCCGAAAACTGGAAGACAATCATTGTTCTTCCAGGATTTAGCTACGCCTATTTCTTCCCGGAAATCTGGGTCGAAATTTAATACACCAGGTCAGGCAGCAGCTGTTTCTGCTTTATGGCGTGAGAATTTTGCCAGCTCAGATCTGCCACCACCGCCTGTATTTACCCTTGAGGATCGATCGGATGTCTCCCCGGAATCGGGGATTCCTGACTATATTACTTCGCCAGAAATCAAGTCGGACCCTAGAACGCCGGTCCTAAATTCAGGAAGGGAATTTTCAACACCTAAGAGTAAGTCTGAGGCAAGCACTTCATATGCATTGATGGGTAAGCAGCAACAACAGAGTCAGCAAAGCCCCTTGCCAAGTTTGACATGGTGGTCACCCACAAAGGGTAGTGGTAGTGCTGAGCAGGATGACAAGGGAAAAGGTTCACCAGTAGAAGGCGTCGTTCATCCTGGTGCTTTGATAACCTTACCTCCACCAAGGGAAGTTGCAAGGCCAGAGATCAGGAAGAACTCAATCCCTGTGGGCAACCTCAATGAGGAAGAATGGGTCACAGTTTATGGGTATGCCTATATCTTTCCTACATTATATATATCCTTCCACTTATGTTCCTGATAGTAGTAGGTGTATTTAGAACTCCTTGATGCCACACAATATTCATTTTTTGCTGGTAGCTTCATTAGGGTAACTTCTAGTTCAAGCTGTTGCATTGTAAAGTATGTTGCTAACCACCCATTGTTATTATGTCTTCCTGTTTCTTTTCCTTTTACTTTTTGTTTCCTCCTTCACTAGGAGCTGTCATTACTTTCTGCTAGAATCAGATGGTATCTGTGTTATTTTTCATGGCAGGGTCTTGAGGATATCCTTTGCGGTTAGCCAAGTCATTATCTAAGGTTCCCTCTGGATGGAGAATTTTAGATTTTAGGGGGTCCAAATTCATAAATATTATAAATTTGAAGGTTTGAATTTAGAATACGTGCTATCAAATGTTTTTTTTGACTCATTTGATATGTGAATCTAAGTGAAGGCTTACAAGGCATGTGATTTGTGTTTCTATTTCAGATCTATTTTTTTCTGAAGTATATCTGAACAAGTGAAACTGATATGAATTTGGAAGACCTGACCATATTGCTCCATCCAAAATTGGCCTTAAAAGACAAAGAAACATTGATGTGAAAGACATGGAGACTAAAGTGGAACGTTGTGTTTATGCAATAACTTGCTTTCTTCATTCTTCCATGTGATAGATGCGCTTGAAAAATAAGAGGAGCTTTGATACATTCTTGCTTGTGTTTCGAGTCTTGCTTGATGTGCTGAGTTTATTATTGAAATGAGAAAAGTGCCCTTATTGGAATACCTTTTCCTGGTGATATTGGGAAGGGTAGATATCTCAAGGCTCTAACGATGTAGTGGCAATTGATTCTTTACTTCTTATGAATAATCCTCTTCTCCTCACGCCTACCCAGAAATTAAGAGCAAAGGATATAAGTATATAGTTTTGGAGGGAAAACCAGCTCTACTCCTCTAGAATCCACTTTCTGTTTATTTTGCATCACAGAATGTTCATGAAGGGGATCAACTTTAGTCGTCTAAGCTAGGTTAACTGCCTACAGAGTTTCAGGGTAGATGTATGGATACAACTTTTATGATCTATGTGTTCCTTTCAGTCTCTTTGAGTTATTCTATAGGGACCCTAATTTCTGTACTTCTCACATTTTGCTTGCCATTTTTCTTTATTTTTGGTCTTCCACTTATCATTTACCTTTTGAGTGTTACGTGCAGGTTTTCCCCAATTGACACCAATTCAGTTTTAAGGGAATTTGAGAAATGCGGTGTCATTTTGAAACACATTCTGGGCCCCCGAGATGCTAACTGGATGCACATTCTCTATCAGGTATTTCATATACCTATAAACTTGTCATCATGTTCAGATTCTGTTGTACATGCTTGTATATTCATACTGTCTTAAGGGCCTATTTGGTATTTGTATTGCCCTGGGTGGTTATGTGATGTGGGTACCGTGATGTTTAATGCCAGTTAACACTTACTTGCCACCACTAAAGTGTACCAGGACAAGGTCTCCGTTTCTTCTTCATTATTTTGCTTCCCTCACCCCTCATAGAATTTATTCTGTATTTTTTAACCCTTTTGTCCTGTTCTCTTATCTTCCTCTCCAACCGACTTATCCTTCCTATGAGCTTAATTTAAACCCCTTTTTAGAAGTCTGCTATCCCTGTGTTTGTCTCTGTAGCTGGGACTGCTGGTGTGACCCGACCATACCCAGTGTCTTTTTTTGGATTGATTTCTACCTGTGCTGTGAAGCCAACAAATAGTGTGGCCACTTGCAATGCCCCTGATATGTAATATCTCTTTGCAGGATATGGTTTTTTTTAAAAGAAAAAAAAATTGTCCACTGTATTTATTTTTCTTTGTGCGATCTTTTTTGCTGTCAATGACCCTAGTCTCCTGGAAGGTAAACAATTCATGGCCATAAAGCCGTGGCTTATTTTCTCTTTTATGGTGCAGAATCGTGCTGATGCTCAGAAAGCTCTTAACAAGAACGGTATGCAGATAAATGGAGTTCTTATGATTGGGGTGAAACCAGTGGATCCAACACAACGTCAGGCACTGGATGATAGGCTCAACAAGCAGGGATTTATACCTTTACCGCATGCTCCAACCAGTAAAAGCAATGACCCGACTCCGTTTAGAACCTCCTCTCAACCTTATTATCTCCAAAATGGCAGCAATAGTGCAAAGCAATCATCTGGATCTGTTGCCACCCCAGCAAGATCCGTTGTGTCTAAAATTGTGGACTTAATGTTTGGTGTCTAATCTTCCATGTTTCTTGTTCTTCTTCCTCCCATGCTTTTGTGTCATTTCTACTCAATGATGTCAAATATCATAGTTGATTCATCCGGAATGCATATTGACTCCAAACAACAGTTGAGTCATGAGTCTGTGATTCGTACTCCCTTCTCCTCCATTGTCTTCTTTATTTCTCCTCCAAATGCTTGTTCATGATGTATTTGTATCGATGTGAGCAAAGACTGATCCTTTCATATTTTGGGGAAAAAACGGTGTTGTAATGCAGATATAGAGAAATTTACCTTTCCTTTGCATCTTTCTGTCAGTTTTGATGAGTGGAGATTTTGGGAGCGGTAAATGCTTGGTATGAAATCAAGGTCTTGCATATCTGCGTGTTCTAAAATTTTGGGCTGGTAATGTCTTGGCCAAGTAATTTGGTGGGTTCTCTCGTATTTTAGTTATTCATTACTAGTAGTGTTTAATAGTTAATGATGACTTTTTATTGCCAACGAGATGATGGTAATAATTGTTACACGGTGGTTTAAAAACATGCTTTGAATTCATGTATTTATTGGTTTATGGGAGATGTAAACATAGGTGTATTTTCAAAGTGAACAATTAATTTGGATGGATGAGTATTATCGTATTGCGTTCGTAATCAAATTAAGTAATGCCTCTCTTGCTCCCGTGACTTGTCATGTAGAGCCCTCTTGTAGCTTTTTTATTGTATGACCAAAGAGAACAAAAACGTCAATTATCACTGTTCATTCACGGACACCTCCTTGACTACTTCGTCCTACCTATACTCGCCACGTGTTTATTTCTCACGTTCTCTGACCCCACTGCCCGCTTTCTTACGATTCAAAAAGAAAATTCTCTCTAAAACAGAGGAAATTGAGCAATTGGAACAAAACTAAATACTAGTGTAGTGAGGAGATGATCAACGGCAAGAATCCACCGGATGTCGGAATTCAGCTGCCGGAGTCAAAGATGGGGATGGATACTGTCACGGATAGTCCACTGGACGGAAATGTTAACGGGAAAGCTGAAGTGATGCAAGTAGTCCTACGGGCATTGTGTCTTGTGACTTCAGTCACAGCTCTATCACTTATGGTGACTGCCCAACAAGCTTCTACCATCACTGTCTTGGGATTTAATATACCCTTGCACTCCAAGTGGTCCTTCTCTCATTCCTTCGAGTAAACATCTCTTACCTTATTTTATGTTATCTCTAATAGCTTAAGCTTTTAAATGAGACGCTCACACAATTCAACATATACAAATTCCTGAACTTCAAATTCTCAATCTGCATCTGTTGATGTCTATGTTGTTGATGTACTGGACAGGACTGGTAACCCTATGAACTTTAGGGCATTGTCTTGTTGACAGTTTTTCCTAAGCTTTGAGTAGGTGACGTGTTCTGATATTTTTGTTCATTTTTTGTTTTTATTATTTTGAATTTTGAAATGTCACTTCCAGTCCTGAAATTAGTAGTACGTGCAATATCAGGTAATGTACTTGCATATATCATGTTTTTGTTTGCAATAGCAGGTAATGAACAAATCACAACAAAAGGCCCGTGAGTAGAATTTTAATATTCTGTTTTCTGACACTAATCCAAACTAGTACAGAGAATCTTCTTCCTTTTTAGTTCTTGCAATTATTTCTTGGGCTTACTTATTTTATTTTTTAAGGGGTAATTGGGGGTAGGCAAAGGGAGAATGGGGAGAGGATTACGAGTAGCCAACCAACTGAGCCACTTGGGTATTTTACTTTTTATTGGTGCTGTTGGGAAATCTACACAGATAGGATCGCATACTTGGTCACCTGATGCTATGGAGGGTCCCCCTGGGCTTACTTAGTTCATTCTCCTCTCAAGCATTTATTGTCTTCAATTATAGATGCTTATATATGTATCCCGTAAAATTCATATAATTTTAAGGGGAAATGGGGAGGGGATTACAATACAACCCTCACGACCTCACCAACAAGGTGGGGGTTCAGATAGCCAACCAACTGAGCTACTGAGATCCCCCTTAAATTCATATAATCAGTGGGAGGATGTGATTCAATAATTTCTATCGTATAAAGTGCACATCTTGGATGATCAGAGAAGTTCTGAGTTATTTGAAATTTACTGATCAGGTACCTGGTTGGCATCTCAGCTGCTGTTGCACTTCATTTAATACTTCAGCTACTTATCAGTGGATCAAGACTTGTACGAGGATCACCTACTATTTCTTCGCGAAATCACGGATGGCTTATTTTTGCTGGAGATGAGGTACAGATTTGATGTTTAAGAGTTCACTGTAGAAGGATAATTAGCACCTCTTTAGTTGCACTTGTTCGGTTGCCAATCACTGCTTATAACTGTAATATAACACTATCTGATTGTTTTTGTTACTATAGGTATTTGCATTGGCGCTGATGAGTGCTGGATCGTCTGCATCAAGTGTTTCCAGTTTGAATCACTCAGGGATTCGACATACAGCTCTGCCAAATTTCTGCAAACCCCTGCATCATTTTTGTGACCGTGTATCCACTTCAATAGTCTTCACTTTTTTCAGCTGCTTTCTGCTTGCCATTTTAGTTGTTCTTGATGTACTTTGGCTGTCGTCTAAGCACTAGACTTATTTGCTTTACTTAATCTCAATGCAAGTGATTTATGTTGTAAACCTTATTAGGTGAATTTGTGGTTATTGCAATGGCCCTTGATTTCTTGATTCATAACATAAATGTGGCCACTAGAAACTCACCGCAGCTCAACGTTTTAGATCAAGAATTTTTTTTTGGTGAATTATATACATTATGCTTATTTCGTTCATTGCTTCTTGTTGAAGTGTGTTTATTGAAAACTTTGACTTGATAGAAGATTAGACTTCTACGAAATTATGTTGAATTCAATGTTCAACAGTTTTCTACCGCAGATTTCTAGTTTCTATCTTACCAATTAGACTATAAACATACTGGTGGTCCGTTCCATTTTAACTGTCGTTTTAATTTTTTTTCAAGTTGAAAAAAATAAAAAGACAAGGTAAAGTATATGTTACACCTATTTATTAGTAAATGTTTTTTTGAAAGTTTTGCCCATTTTGGACGTGAAACTTGTTTTGAGATATTTTTTTCAAGCTAAAAGGGATAATTAAAATAAGATGGAAGGAGTAGAAAATTACAAAGTTTTTCTCCTTTAAATTACGACTCAACGGAAATATGAATGTTCAAATTTGTGCTCAACACTTGTTATAGATAAATGATTTGAACAGATGAGAACTAATTAAGCCCTAAAAAGATGGGAACAATTGAAACAAGGTGGAAAAAAAAAAGAAACAATACAAGCACTTTTTTTAGAGACGTTTTTATTCATCAATTAACAGTTACAAAACATGACCAAGTCAACAAGAAAATCTTAGTGGACCTCCCACGACCCCTCTCCTCTAAACACCATAACTTCCACGTTCACCACGTTACTGCATCCTTTGCTATCAATTTTTCTTTTCTTAAATAGCTTCATTATTGCACAGAGTTAAACCACATAGCAAAGTGAGAAATTTTCTAAAGCTCTCAAATTTCCACATTGCATCACTGCGTTACATACACTAATAACAATCAGCAATATTAGTTCATTCTTGAGGAAGACAAACAATGGGTTCAACTTTCTTCTACATTATTCTTTGTTTCATCGCGCTTACAATTGTTGCTGCCTCCGCTGAGGAATTCAAAGTTGGTGATGCTGTGGGTTGGCGTCAGCCAAGCCAGAATGAAACAGATCTCTATAATCATTGGGCTTCAAACAAGAAATTTCACATCGGTGATTCACTTCGTAAGATTAATATTCACTCAATTATATTATTTCTATGTAATTATTCCGTTTCCTCTTCAATGTACGTATCATGCATAATAATTCAGTCTCAAATTTGAGACTTCGGATTAAGTTCATGGTTTCGTTATTCACCACACTCCTGGGTAATGGCAATTAGTTCCACAAAATATGGTAAAAATTTATTGAGTAGTTACTCAAATCAATAATTTCGTGTTACATGTTCAAATTACTCTCTTATTTCTATAATAAATTAACATTTCTTTGATGTAAATATCGAGTACTGATAAATTTTTGTGAACAGAAAGTAAAATATGTGACATGATTTATCTCGGTACAGGTTTCGAGTACAGGAATGACTCGGTTATTAAAGTGGCCAAATGGGAATTTTATCATTGCAACAGAACTCATCTAGCCTCGGCCGGTAAAGACGGCACCAGAACAATGAATCTCAACAGGGCAGGCACGTTCTACTTCGTGAGCGGCGATCCGGAACATTGCAAAAATGGCCAGCGTTTAGCCGTTGAAGTTCTACCACTACATCCAATTTCGGAATCTCCGCCGCAACCATTTTCTCAGGCGCCGGCACCATCGCCGCTGTCATTCTCGGCGTCGGTTTCTTCAGCAGTTCCGTTGGCGTTCATTTCGGCGTTGTTGATTTCTGTTATTGTTGTAGCGATTGCTGGGTTAGCATGAGCCCCTGTTATTGTGGTTTTCATTTTTCTACCTACTAAGAATATTTTATTTAGGTTAGTTATTTAGTGTTTAATTTCATGCATTATGATTTGGCTAGGTTTAATTAAAATGTTCTATTGATTTCAATTTTTCACATTGGATTTGTGGCCCATTTTGAATTTATTATGTATGGACAACACATCAATTCTTAATGGGAATTTATATACTAATGTCTATTTTAGTAATGTTTTTTTAGTGCGTCTTCATTGTTGAGTTGGGTAAATGATTCTTTTTTCCTTATTGAATATGACTACATAATATTAATTTATTATCAAAGCCAAAAAATTATGTATTGTAAGTCAATCCCTTCATATTTCATAAATTTCTCTACTTTCAACTTTCAAGGATATAATTTTTTTGCACAGATAGATTATGTACAGGGGTCTATTTATACTTGCTCCAAATTAAATTTACACATTTAACAATCAAAAATCAATTTGACTAATATATTTATTTCCTTATTATCATGAAATTAATTTTTTTATTAAGAATATTCAAAAATTAATAAATACACATGTGTTGTTAACAAGTAGATGTCCATAAAGACTCATATTTATTATAGCATGTTATAAATTTCATCCCTACAAAAGAGACACTACGTGATAGAAAGTTGCATTCAAGGAAAATTACTTCTCTCCTCTAACTTATACGAGTATTACTCTTCTTTTCTTTCTTGTTTAACTTTCAATATTTTATTTATAACAACATTTATTTTTTTAGACTGAACTCGCATTAGTGTGCTACTCAAAAAGTTGGAGAATATAAAGTATAAACGGACTGAAATGAAGATTTGAAGAAACATAAGGGACAATTTGCAAAGCACGATAACTACAAGGTTCTATATTGCAATTTTTCTTTAAGACTTTTAAGTTAGCGGTTTAAATATTGAACTTCTAGAAAAATTCTTTTCAACGAAGCCTTATCTTCTCCCCTTGTGCTCTACCATTTCCACATTCACCCACTTTGCGAGTGAGCTCTCAGGTACTCTTCCTCATTCTTCATCCTCTTGCTTTTCGTAATACTATTTTCTGATTTTGATGCAAAAACATTAATGGAAAACGCATTCCTTTCTGTTTGAATCTACTGCTCCACTGATTGCAACTGCGATTCTTCTACTGAATAGATTTATCCATTATTATTTGAACTGAGATTCTACATTTTGCTGTGTTATTTCTGAAAACGAAATCTCGAGCTTTATTGTGCTTGTTCCATTTTAGTACTCAATAATTTATCCTTTGAGACAAGGCAATTCGCTATCTAATAGCACTTAACTGAAAAATATTGATTATTGATGTTTTTCTCTGTAGTTTTAATTAGTATTGTAATTTAACAATAAGCTTGATAACTTTTAGGATTTAAAAAATCCATAGCTTTAGTTTGTTAGCTCTCCTTATACATGTAGGGACTCCTTGAAGTGTAACACTTATTGAACCTGTAATGTTAGTTTTGTATGTGTGTTAACCTAGAAAGTTTTGCTCTTGGATTGAGCATTTCGATGAGCTCTTAGGCACGCCATTTGTTGTTTTTTTCATTTTGAAATTTCATTGAAGGTTGTGATATATTCTTTTAAATGTTTGCCACACAATTTTTTCTTGAGCTTGTCTTGCCTTCAAAGGCTCTTCTGCAGTACACCCTGATGGATTCCAAAAGACTGTAGGTTGAATCTAGATGCCGATAAGCCCAACAATCCATGCGCCATGCCTTAGATTTTTAAGTCGAAGCCTGTCTGCTTGCATCTCTTTATTTGTCCATAATCTATGCACTTGTTTCTACCAATTCCTGTTGTCAAGCATACCAAATATGACCTACCGATACATGAAGTCACGCTATCAGTAGTACCTTCTTGGTAATCCAAGAATGTGCTTGTGTTTGAACAATCAGACCTTCAGTGTGTTTGATTTCAACGCATTGGACTCTTTTTTATATACTTTTCTGAGGCAATGATGCCCTATTCTGCAGGTATTTTGTGGAGCATGGCTGCTACGTTTACCTCAGTGTGTTCAATTGCTTCCACAAACCAGACAGTAGATAAAAAATTCATCAATTCTTCTGAAACATTGTCTTCATTCTCTGGGATATCTTTGACTTCATTAGGGGGCAGGAGAAAGAATAAAGTTTTAAAGAAGAGAAATGATTCCAAGATCCAGGCTATGGCCAAGAAGTTACACTTCAATCAGGATGGTTCTGCCATCAAGAAGTTGCAAGTAAGCTTGATAGGAATTTTTAATTGATTTCTCTTGTATGGACACGTCATCCTTTTGTACCTATTTAATTCTCGCCATTCCTTGGCCTTCAAAATTCAGGCAGGAGTTAACAAGCTTGCAGATCTAGTAGGTGTAACTCTTGGTCCAAAGGGAAGAAATGTAGTTCTTGAGAGCAAATATGGCTCTCCGAAAATTGTAAATGATGGTGTTACTGTGGCCAGAGAGGTAAACTTCCAAAAACTCCATATCTGATTTTCTTCTGGCACTCAACTGTCAAATGCTATGCGTTTGTTGTGACTTGTCGAAGAGAAATATATTGGTACTTACCATGATCAGCACTGGAATTGGTCTTTGTTATTTCTTCTGTATATTATTCACAAATTCATTTTTAAATTTTGTACTCTTTTAGTAGATATTGTTATTACACTTAAAATGCTGTATTTCGGTCCTGTTGGTATGGTTGAACTATGCAGAAATAAATATGTTGTAATGTATGCTCTGAATTGCTCAATAGGTTGAACTAGAAGACCCTGTTGAGAATATTGGTGCAAGTTTGGTGAGACAAGCTGCATCAAAGACAAATGACTTGGCTGGGGATGGAACAACTACATCCGTTGTTTTGGCACAGGGGCTCATAACTGAGGGTGTTAAGGTTTGTAAGAAGTTGCTTTCAATTTTGCAAGCTATTTCAAGATTTTGATGGTGTTAGGGATTTGATAATAGCTTCCTTAATGCTGGTTATTCAGGTTGTTGCAGCTGGTGCAAACCCTATTCAGATTGCCAGGGGCATCGATAGGACCACCAAAGCCCTGGTTTCTGAGCTAAAAAATATGTCAAAAGAGGTGAAAATTACAAAATTATATGTTAAATTTTACTTATGATTCAGTACAGCTGCATCAATTTTTCAAAACTTTACTTCATTTGGAACAACTATTATTATTTTTGAAAGTTGCTGATAACTTTTTAGGTTGAGGACAGTGAACTAGCAGATGTAGCTGCGGTTAGTGCAGGAAACAACTATGAAGTAGGAAATATGATAGCAGAAGCCTTGAGTAAAGTGGGTAGGAAAGGTGTAGTGACTCTTGAGGAAGGGCGGGGTTCTGAGAACAACTTATTTGTTGTGGAAGGCATGCAATGTGACCGTGGCTATATCTCTCCATACTTTGTTACAGACAATGAGAAGATGGTAGCTGAATATGAAAACTGCAAGGTATGATGTACCATGACATTTTGTCTTGCATGCTATCTTTAAAAAAACTCTTCCTGGATATGCTAAAGAATGTGTTGCTGACAACTAGTTTTAAAAAAAATCAGCTGCTTCTGGTAGACAAAAAGATAACAAATGCAAGGGATTTAGTCAATGTTTTGGAAGAAGCAATCAAAAACGGATACCCAATATTGGTAATCGCTGAAGACATAGAGCAGGAAGCTCTAGCCACACTAGTTGTGAACAAATTAAGAGGAGCATTGAAAATTGCTGCTCTCAAAGCTCCTGGTTTTGGAGATCGAAAAAGCCAATATCTTGATGACATTGCTATCCTTACTGGAGGTCTGTCCATAATGAAGTGATCTCACTGTTCAACGAAAGCTATGTTTACATTTAAAGTAAATTTAATTATGCAATATGCACTCAGGTACTGTCATTCGAGAGGAGGTTGGTTTATACCTAGACCAGGCTGGAAGTGAGGTCTTAGGGAATGCTGCCAAGGTGGTTTTATCAAAGGATTCGACGACAATTGTTGGTGATGGTAGTACACAGGATGCAGTGAGCAAAAGAGTTGCGCAAATTAAAAGACTTCTTGAGGTAGAACTTTGACTTATATTTTCTCATGCCGGTCAATTAATTGCCCTTTTCACAAAACAATGTTGGGCTGTCCATGCAGGAAGCTGAACAAGACTACGAAAAGGAAAAATTGAATGAGAGAATTGCAAAACTCTCTGGGGGTGTTGCCGTTATTCAGGTCAGTTGATGATTCACTTATTTTAGGATGATATCTTTTTCGTTGTCGTAATTCAAAGTATACTCTTCTTGCCGTAATTTGGGATTATGAAATATCAGGTTGGTGCACAAACTGAAACAGAACTCAAAGAAAAGAAATTGAGAGTAGAGGATGCACTCAATGCGACAAAGGTTTGTTCAAGTGTCTATGCAATTATGGCCATTCTTTCAATTTGAATTTGCCAACCACTATAATCTTACAGTGGTAATGAAATTGATCTTTGGTAACCATAGGCAGCTGTTGACGAAGGCATTGTAGTTGGCGGTGGATGCACCTTATTGCGGCTTGCTGCCAAAGTTGAAGACATTAAAGGAACTCTTGATAATGATGAACAAAAGGTATTACTTTTATTTAGTTCATTGAGGAAGATTCCTTATACAGTTGTACCAAGATTATTTGCATATGTTAATGTTAATTTTCTGAAGGCGGGGATGGCACTAATTCAGTTTTCAATACTGCAGATTGGAGCTGATATTGTCAAGAGAGCTTTGCGCTACCCTATGAAGTTAATAGCCAAGAATGCTGGTGTTAATGGAAGTGTTGTGATTGAGAAGGTACAACAATATTGAAATGGGCTTACTGTTTATGTTGCATTGTATGAGAGTTCAAAGATACATTGACTGGTTTTACTATCATTTTCAGGTGTTGTCCAATGACAATCCAAACTATGGTTATAACGCGGCCACCGGAAACTATGAAGATTTAATGGCTGCTGGTATAATTGATCCTACAAAAGTAAGTATCTTGAAGTCTCAAGGGAAACAAATGCCGAAGAAACGTGTAGATAATTTCAACAATATGCATGTTAGAGTGGGTTAGAGACTTAAAGAGTCCCGGGAATGGACAAATGATTTGCTTATATGGATTTGGGTATTCCTCCCCTCATGAGCTAGCTTTTGGGGTTAAGTTAGGCCTAAGTGTTATATCTTTTGTGCTATGTATTCTCAAAGTCATGTCCGTAAACATTTCATCCTATGTTCTTAGTAATCGTAGAACTGAACATGTCGTAATTCTCTGCCAATAAGGTCTCCTTCCAGTCTTCTTAGAAATTGATCTCTAATTATGAAGTGATTAAAGGATGACCCTTGTTGTCAAAATCAATATTTGTTACTTTAAACTATACATATCTGATCGTTTATTGTTGTTAGGCACATACCTGTCAAATCTGATTTGTAGCAACTGTGTGTTCCAATTATAACACATCCAAAGTTTTGACATTTCATTTTTCATTTCTTTGTATTTGGACATCTACCAAGAGTTGGTGGACGACCAGTGATCGGCAATTAAATATCTACTCTTTTTCCTTCTTGTTTTTGTAATTAGGCATAAATAGCATCTAGGAGATTCTTTGTCTATGTTGAAAAAATTAATACAATGGGTGGCTTGTGTTGTGAGAATTCAAGTATCTGTTCTTTTTCTCCTTGTTTTTGTGATTCATCGATAAATGACTTCCAGGGAATACTTATTTTCAATCCTAAAGGTTTCGCTCTCGATGTTTTCATGTTGCTTCTCATTGTTTACGGAAGCTAAGGGTTGCATGTTGTGGAAATTAGGTGGTAAGATGTTGCTTGGAGCATGCTGCTTCAGTTGCAAGGACCTTTTTGACATCAGATGCTGTGGTCACTGAGATCAAGGTGCCTGAACCTGCAGTTGCTGGGAACCCAATGGACAATTCAGGTATTAACCATAGAGGCCAACCATTCCCCCCCTCCTTTCTGATTCTACCGTAGAGGCCAACGATAGACAACCTTAGATGCATTTGAATGAGCGAGTTTTTTGAACTAATACTTTCTTTTATTTTGATGTTAAATAGGCTATGGACCCTAGATGTTTAAGAAGGGCTTGAGGACATGCTGAGAACTGGTATGCTGAAGCGCAATGCCGGTAAATTACGAATAATATGAATTAATTAGCAACATAGAGTTTATATGTTGATGAGTTCACATTTCCGAATAGCCAGTGTTTTTTATTGTTCCAAGTTGAAATTTTATGAGCGTAGGCTTTGCATGAGTGAAGCCCAAATGGTGTAGTTTGCATTTTTGCAGTGATAGAAATGGTAAAATTAAAGTAACAATATTGTTCAAACTTATTCCTCTTGTTTTTTTTTTCTAGTGGAAATTGTTACTTTACTTGATAAAAGATAAAAAAAAATTGTCCCTTTTACGCTGGTGACGGTCCAAGTAGTCGATATTAACTTAAGCAAAAAATTCTAATCCAATGTTAGGTAAATGCCATGCTCAATAAATCATTATAATGTAGCATATACCATATATTGAGAAAATAACATAGTACTAGTTACAACATCACACCATTACAACAATGTACCCGGCACAGTGTAGTCACACAAGTGGGGCCTGGTGGAATGGTGTGTGTGCAGTCTTATTTCTACCTCGTGAAGGTAAGAGAAGTTGGTTACGATATTCGAGCAATATCTTTCTATTTAAGGTCATGTCTTTGGTGAACTACAAGAGAGTCATGCATATCTTGTTTATCACTCTCCCCCACACTTTTCTAGTCTACTTTTACCTCTTCTCATACCCATAAATCATAATAATCATATTCTTTCACACCTCCTCATTGAGGCATCTATGCATTCCGTCTTCACATGTTTGAACCGTTCTCGTCTCCCTTATCACAAGGCTACTTTGACCTTGTTTCAAATACCTTCAATCTTAATATTTTCTCTTCTAGTTTGCTCACACATCTATTTCGATCAACCAACACTTCGTCACAAATAGAAAATTTGAAAAGGATAGTTACCCCTACCTGACTTAAGTTTCCTTTTATGTTATATAGTAAAGTATACTGTGGACAAGAAATCATATAAATTTTATTATGTACGAGGCACAACTAATACTAGTTATATGAGGCTATTATTTTATTAATATTATATTTTGACCTGTGCGGGACCCATTCTTTATTTTCCATTTTGGCATTGTTTCTCTTTCTTACTTTTCACTTTCCTTCTTTTTCTCATTTTTTGTTCTTTCCAAAATATAAAATAAAGTAATTTTTTTTAATAGAAAATGTTTTTTAAAATGATTATTTTTATCATTAAATAACTACATAAAATATTAATCAAAAATATTATTAATAAAACTAGAGTTATGTGTATATATCAAACACTTGTTACAAAATTACACATTAAGTATTTAGAAGTTATAATAAATATAGAAAGCATGGTTATGATTATTATTAGGTGTTTGACTATATAATTCATATATTTTTTAACTGTATTGAAATATATGCCTTAGAGTTGAAAATAGAGCTATGTTTTATTTTTGCAAAAAAAAATATTCAAAATAATGTTCATATTATATATAAATACAATTTCAAAAGTGAAAGTGAGTTGAAAAAACACATTATACGAACATGTTTTTCAAATTTAAAATATACCTTAAAAAAAAAGAAGGTTGTGTTTTAAATTTTCATGGGCAAAAATCAATTTTTAAATAAAGTGAACAATTATTTTATGAATAATTTTTTATGCTTAAATGGGTGCTAAAAGTAGAAGTTAAAAAAGACACGAAATATGAAGACAAAATTTTTGAAAATACAATAAATGAAAAATGAGAGAAAAAGAAATAAAAATAATTTTAGTGATCGATTTTCATGACATAAGTGACCATTCAAATAATTAACTTGAATTTTGTTTATGTTCATAGCCTTTAAGTATAGAGACCTTAATTATATAATACTGAAAATTATAATTTGGGAAATATATTCTATAAAACAAATAAGTATAAGAATAATAATTATTTTCATTCGTATAAACTGAAGGAGAAGGTGAACTGATTTTAAAATAAAATTAAATAAAAAAAAAACATAAAACGAGAGAAATGAAGAAAGAGAAGAAGAGTAAAAAAGAGAAACAAAAGGGCAGGAAGGAAAATAAAGTATGGGCCCATGAATCAGAATATAATGTTAATATAATAATCCCTCATACAACTAGTAGTAGTTGTACCTCATTCATAATAAAAATTTTCTCCATGTCTCACAAGCAAATTGTCCGTGGTGTTGTGCAAGCTATCTGTAGAATATGTCATAATTTGTGTAAATTAATAAATACCAAAAGAAGGCACCAATCTTTGGTATGATGATAACAGCTCACCAATAGTTGGTGCAAATAGGGATACATAGAACTTTGGATAAAACGATGTTCTGCCGTACTGTGTGCTCTGGTCTGTTTTGTCCCCTGTTATGATTTGACTAGCCTATCTTACAATTCGACCTTTAATTTTTACTGGGATTACGACAGTATCGAAGGGAGTACTGTTACCACCAACCGTGCATGATGAGAGTGTTTCACCCTTAATTAGAGATTTCGAATTCAAGTTTTGGGTATGAAGAAAATTTTGTTAGGAGGGACACCTCCAAATGGACCCTGTAGTGCTGCGCGATTCGAATTTAGTCTGAGCTTCAATGTGGACTCTGAATAACGGATGGAAAACCAAAAAAGAAGGGAGTACCGTTACCTATTCAGATAAGGTTGCAACGTGCATCTTCCGTTCTCTTATGACTTTTCTCAGTTAATTGAATTGGCTGTCTTCATTTTGAATGCTCTTATTATTTGATAAATTGCTTCTTTGTTTTATAAATGTCGTTAGAAACAGTGACTTTCTTGTTATGCACCCATATACCAAAGTTAGCGGCTTTAAAGATAAGGATAAGGGTGGTGGGACACCCTCTGAATTTCTCATTGTATTATCAAAAATAATTTATATTTGTCTTTTGTTATACTTATCATACTAAAATATCCCGGACATTAGTCCCCACTTCAATGCGATGATGTGGCATTAAGAACAACGAAATTGGACTAGTAAGCAAAAGAAAATAAAAAAAAAACAATTCCAAGGCTTCATTTTTCAGACACATCTCACCAAGAACTACATTTTTCTTCCCTGAAACCCTTTCACTGTAAAAATTTCACTACTGCAGGCAAGTCTACTGCTACGTGTTGTGCTCTTACCATTAGATCAAAGCTCGGGGAGAAAATATAAGAATATAAACTACTTTAGATGATACAGGGTCAAATTTTGACTATTTCCCCCTAATGTTTATACTATGAGGATAACATCAAGTGCCAGAAGAGTTCAAGAATACCAAAAAAAGAAAAATGAAACATTGAGAGTGCATAATGTTTTTTGTCCTTTCTTTTATGTTGCATTTTGTTTCAATATCTTTTCGGCTTAAAATTGAGGCGGTCTTGTGATTAGTACGACCAGTATTTTGGCCTAAAATACTTCATATTCTTTCCACTATTATCGTATATTCTCCTCTTTGACATGATAGAAACAAAAAAAAGGCGCTGAAAATAAATATACTATAAACAACATGCTACTAATTATAAAATTCATTTTTTCTTATTTATATAGTTTTATGCAGAAAGTAACTTTCCTAAAAAATATATACTATAAACTATATATGTTTTTTCTAAAATTTGACCAACGGTACATGAGGAAATAAAAAAAGTTTAGTTGAAAAATATTGAACGTATCAAAATGTGAAATGAGAATTAAAACGTGATTAGATTTGCTTTTGATAATTATTCTTTTGTTTTTGTTTAACCAAAGAAAAAAAAAAGTCTACGTATGACTTCCGATTAGGAAACTTACATCGATGGCCAAGTCACAAAATCTTCTTGTAATATGATGATGAAAAATGGAAAAAGTCTACGTAAAGGTGATTGAATTGGTGTATCAGATGATATATCTCATAAGGTATATTAGGGACTTATTCCCCGTCCACACTTTCTCAAGAGAATTGCATTCGTCATGGATTTCCTAGTGTACACCCAAAGAATAGGGATTCCGAATTTTTCTGGGATTCCAAAAATAATAATCTCACCAATGTAATTGAATATTTTTTCAAAAGAATACTAAATCATAATTATTTAGAGATCAATTATCAATTGGTACTCTCTTCATCTACTTTTAATTGTCATGGTTTTTTTTTAGAGTCAATCTATAAAAACTCTGACTAATATTTTACGATGTAATTTTTAATATTGATATGTAAAAAATTGCAATTTATAGAATTTTTTATGTAATTTTTGAATATATAATTTTTTTGTGTAAAATATTAAATTAATGTAATCTAATTTAACTTGGAAAATTAGTCAAATAAACTTTTAAAAAGTTTAATACAACAAATAAAAGTAGACGGAGGAGTAGTAGGTAATTAGTGGACGAGTCTTAGGACACAAAGCAAGTGGACAAAAGTTTAAAAGAATTAACAAAAACTGACTGTTGGAATATATACAATTTTATGGAACTAATTGAAAGGTGTCATGTTAGAGAGGAAGATTCTGAATTAGCATTAAATAAATAAATACAAATATAAGTAAATAAATAAATAAGATTAGGAATTGATTAATTATGGCGTAAGATTGACAGCGGTGTTATATAATCCATTGGTCAAGGATGTAGCTACGTTTATGGCATCTTCATCAAGTTCTTTTAAAAACAAAATATCCAAAGGAAAATAAAGTAGTCAAGATCAAAAGATTTATTCAAAACAATCTCTCTATTTCAAGAAGTTAGAGATAAGGTTAGTCGAGATCCGAAGATTTATAAATAATAATCTCTATATTTCAAGAAGTTAGAGATAAGATTTATGTACACACATCTTATCTTCTGTAAATTATATTTATAAAATTATACGAGATATATTTTCGTTATATTCAAAGGAAATTAAATAATAATTGTGAGGAATTAGATAGATTGCCATTTTCGAAAGGACTTCTGATAATTCTTGATTATCCCTAATTCCCTTTCCCTAAATGTTAAATCAATCTTTTAACTTGGCAGACTGCATACAATTCGTTGGAGAATGACTAATTGATTGAAAATTGAATGAACTAATAAAGAGAATAAATCTTATATTATATGATTTTCTATATTTATTTTACTTGCATCTCTTTGCCTAACTTATTTCTCTTAAGGCTAATCTCATCATTAACGGCTATAATACCATAGCACTTATCGTCTTAAGACTTTTTTGTTTTCGAAAATTAACACGTCAACATTATTATTATTATTTTGAATGACATTAAAGGCATCCATATTCACGCACTAAATAATAACGGTATAAAATGAAGATGTCCAAAATATCATGCATCCATTTTGAAAATTAGAAATTTATCCATTCACTTTATCGTTAGTATATCGTCACATATTTTCCCTTGTCATCATGCTACCAATTTCAAAAAAAAATATATATTTTCCCTTGTCATTAACAAAATTTTAAGATCAATTAGTAAACTTCATGCGTATCCATATTTTTCAAAAAAAAAAAATAGTTACAAATTTATTGCTCAACTTTCTATTATAATTTTATAAATATCTTAAGATTAAGCTTCGTTCAACCGTCAAAAGTAAAGGACAAAAACAAGGCTTTTTCTTCACAATGGGGATAATATTAAAGCATCCTAGATAATCTTTATTTATTTAGAGTAGTAGTAGATTCAGAATTTTCACTAAAAAAGTTTGAAAAATAAATATAAAAATAAAAATGTTAAATCAAATGGTTAGGATTTGAATTTGAAATTTTAAGGTGAATTTGAACTCTTTAATCACTAAATAAACCTCTAGTCTCTTATTTAGATTATTCAAGTTTATGAAAAAAGAATCCCCCTATATATACAATATATATTTATTTGACGATGAGGTTCGTATGAATCCCCACCTAGCTAGATCCGCTCCCGACTTAGAGGTATTTATCTCAACTGATCGGACAATTTGAATAATTTAAGGCCCGTACAAAACATAATTACAAAGTGGAAGAAATAAATTTGGAGATTAATGGATGTTAGCATTATTGAAATTTAATTTATTAAAGTATCGACAAGACAAAAATGAAGAAAATGCACGAATTAGGAAGAAGCATGTATAATCCTAATAACTAAATTAAAAATGTCGACTTCAATCAAATACTAGTAATTTGAGAAGAAAACATAATTGTAATCAAATACGTGGATGTAAATATTAAAGGCCAAGGGTACATAATGATTGCCCACTTAAAGAACTTTTTTTTTTTTATCATCGAGTCATTGAAAATTTTGAACTACCACCAAATCACACTATTTGTTTAAAACAAAACCCACAAGCATAAGTTATATTAAAAAGTTCTCCATAAATGATTAAATTAAAATAGAAAAGTTGTCATCCATTTTGTCTATCTATGTGCCCAAAGGATAAAAAACAAGAAAATGACTTTCATTTTGAACTTCGAAAGTGACTTTTGACCATCTATGTTTTTCTATGTCAATTATATTAGTATATATTAGAAGAGTCTAGGATTTACTATCATTGTCCCAATTAAATCATTACAAATGTCCAATACTTACTATATAAAATATATAAGTGGACCCCACCTCCTTCCACTTAAATAATATTTTTCAACCTTATCATGGTAAAAGTTGAATTTATTATCCTTTTCATTTAATTTTATATGATATTATTTTTTTCTATAAAATCATTATATATGTTTTAATAATTTAAATTTCAAAAACATTATAATTTAACTTTAAAGATTTTATTTTATCAAAATCTTGTACATTGAAATATATAGTTATGAATTTAAAATATTTTTAAAATCATATAAAAATTTCAATAACTTCTCAAATTCCATAATATAACACTTAAATACTACATATTATATATTAATTACTATACTATAAATGACTTAAATACTCCATATTATCTATTACACTAATTAACAATTATTTGACACTTTAAATTCTATCAATGCCATATAAATTAGGATAAAAAACCTAACATATAATATTTAAATATATTTAAAAATAATATAAGTAATACTATACATTACAATAATTAATAGCTTAATTATTTAAAACTTATATAAAAAATTTAATTGAGTCTCTAAATTCTATTGGTACCACATAAAATAGATTATATAATAAACATATATTGTTTGAAATTGACGAAAAAGAAACAATAAATTACAATAATTAATAAAAAAATAGTCTACTCCAAAAAATCTATCAATTAACAACATACATTGTTTGAAATTGACGAAAAAGAAACTATAAATTACAATAATTAACAAAATAAATCTCTCGACTCCAACAAATCTATCAATTAATGCCACATAAATTGGGACATGGAAAATAACATATGGTATTAAAAAATTAGGTTCAAAATGTACTAAAAAATACAATAATTAACAACTTAATATATTAAAGAGACATAAAAAAGGGTTAATATTTAAAATTCTGCATGTGCCACATAAATTAGAACAAATAGAGTAATAAATATTACTTTCAAAATTATGTTAAAAAAAAGTACTACAAATCACAATAGCTAACAATTTAAAATATTTTTAAAATCATATAAAAATATCAATAACTTCTCAAATTCCATAATATGACATAAATTTAAAAAAAAAGTGTTATAAATCATAATAAATAGTACAATATTTAAACTACTTTAAGAGCATTATAAATTGTAATAAATAATACAACAATTTAAATTACTTAAAATTTAACGACTTAAAAATATTTTTTTAAATGTATTAAAATTTTGGTTAATTGTCAAAACTTTACATGTGCCACATAAATTGGGACATGGAGAGTCACACATATATTTTTTTTTAAATTATATTAAAAGTATTCTATCAATTAACAACATATATTGTTTGAAATTGACGGAAAAAAAAACTATAAATTACAATAATTAACAAAATAAATCTCTCGACTCTAACAAATCTATCAATTAATGTCACATAAATTGGGACATGGCAAATAACATATATTATTAAAAAATTAGGTTCAAAATGTACAATAAAATACAATAATTAACAACTTAATATATTAAAGAGACATATAAAAAATGCTTAATATTTAAAATTCTGCTTGTGCCACATAAATTAGAACAAACAGAGTAATAAATATTTTTTTTCAAAATTAAGTTAAAAAAAAGTACTACAAATCACAATAGCTAAAAAATTAAAATATTTTTAAAATCATATAAAAATTTCAATAACTTCTCAAATTCCATAATATGACATAAATTAAAATTAAAAAATATATATATATTGGGCCCCGTGCCAGCACGGGGTCCTATATCTAGTATTATAAACAAAGTCCTAGAATTTTCTCTATATATATATCTTTCATGATCTCATTGACTTATTGTTTGGCAGCCCTATACACTTTTAAAAAAAAGTATTATTCAAGTTAATTTGCATTTATATCAATTATTTATCGAATAAATAGCTCTGTCAAAAAAGTAAGTCTTAATAATTTTACCCAAGAAAACATAGACAAGAAGAAAGAAGAATATTTTTGTCTTTGATAGAATTTGCTGGCCCTATCTATCCGATATGGTTTGTAGCTCTATTATTATTGTTGTTAAAGATAAAAGTCGAATTCGAGGTTTCATTAAGGAAAATAAAAACGACACATTCATTATAATTCAATAAATGAGGAGGAACACGACATATCTATTATAATTCGACAAATAAGGAGGAAAGCAATAACATATCCATTATAATTCAACAAATAAGGAGGATGGAGGCTGCAGAGACTTTAGTTAATAAAAATAGCCTTGTGAGGCCTTGTCTATAAATAAATTTTTTTAAAAAAACGACCTTAGGCAAAATAATAAAGGAAAAATGAAATAACCACATTAAATCAGTGAAGGCTAAATTACTAATAGTCCTTATCTAATTTGTCACAATGAGCTTGCATGTCCCAACTCATAATCATCATATTTTGATTTACAGGATCCTTGATTATATGATGTGCTAATTATCTTTTTTTAACTTTACATCTGCCAAATTACGTAATTTAGTCAATTTCGTCTTAGTAAAATTTAGCTCATTTATGTCAAATCATATAAATCAAAGTAAAAAGCCAAAAATTTCTTGCAAAAAAAGAACCTTTGGCCAGAACACCTGTCCCTTCAAGTATTCTCAATCTCAATTTACGTGACAGTTTTAATTTTCCGAAAATCAAACAATTATAATTTTGATCATAAATTTAAGTATAAATTCTTTAAATCTTTTAAATAATAAAATTTATACATTGGGAAAGTAAAAAATAATATCACAGTTACTATAATTGTCAATTTAAAATATTTAAAAGATACATGAAAAAGTTACGATTAATTTTACACTTGTTTGAATCTCAAAATCTAAAAAATGTCTCGAGAAGGAGAGAGTAGTAATTATATATATTAGACATATTTCTTCTATATTCAAATGTATAAGAAACCGTAAATAAATTTTATGATTATGCACAACTAAACTGATACTTAAGTATATTTACTAAAACAGTAACTACTATTCGACAGATACTCAAAAAAATCCATAATTAAAAAAAAAAAACAGAGCAAAGCCCAGAGTTCTGAGTCCTAAAAGCTCCATTATGATCAGCTTTTAACAAGCCCATTTCAGTGTCTCAAAGCTGCAAGAAATTAAACTTTCCCCAGCGCCAGCTGCAGACTGCTCCAGAAAATAACCACAAAAATCTGTACTGTGATCTGCCCACCACGGCGAGTACAGCAGTCCTTCAACTGAGTCACTCGGCCGCAACTCAGTTTTTGAATCGTCACTTTCTGCTAAATTAGGCAGTTCAATAATCTCACAAAGCTCTTCAGATCCCGTTGATGTTGTTGTTGTTGTTGTTGTTGAGGATGAGGACGAGGACGAGGACGATGAGGCTGAAGAAGGTGGGTCCCTCATTGATGCTGCTTTAGCAGCAGCAGCTTGAACATCTCTAGGTGAATTTGACAATGGACGAGGCAACGAGTCGATTAGATGAGGGAAATTGAGAATGGCGGAATTTCCTTTTATACTCACCGCTGCAACATCATGTGCCCTAGCGGCCATTTCTGCTGTAGGATAAGTACCGAGCCAAATACGTGATTTCTTCCTCGGTTCACGAATTTCAGATACCCATTTTCCCCAACTTCTCATCCTAACTCCTCTGTAAGTTTGATGTCTACTCTCACTATTAGTAATAGCCTTCTGTTTCTTCGTTCGCTTCGTCGGCCGTTTCTTCCCTTTCGGTAATTTCTTTGACGAATCAAAAACCGACTTGTGCATGGAATCCGCGGACAATGAAGACGAAGAAGAAGAGACAGAGGTATTAGTATTACAAGAGCTCTCTGTTTCTGAAATTTGTACTTCAACTTCCGCCATTAATGAAAATACAGAAACAGTTATCCCGTGAAGCTCTTAATACAAGTCGGTTAATGCAATATTTTTTGTAGTAATTTTTTTTTTTCCTTTTTGGGTGGGGAAGAGTTCTATATATTGAATGACAAAAAAGAGTTCATATACTATTTTATATTGTTGAATGAGAGTATGAAAATTGCTAGAAAAAGATAGAAGAATGAAAGTGAAAGATGAGAGAAAAGACAAAATTTTGGAAGTGCCCGTTGGGTATTGATAGGTGTGGGAGCGGGCGTTTTTATAGCGAAAACAGACTAATTTACTTCAATACTGATGTGATGTGATGTGATGTGTAGTAGACATTGTTTCTCACTTTTAACACTACAAAACCACTATAATACTAACTAACGTACCAATACACAATACAAAACTATAGTACAACATCGCGATGGTCGATATATCTTCTTTCTTAATTAAAAAAAAAAAAATTAGGTTTGAGTCCCTGAGAATTAAAATGTTGAGAATCCGATCCGCCTTTAAAAATAAATTTTATAATGTGTAAATTTAAATTTAATATAACTCAAATATTATATCACATGGGAAATAAAATTTAAAAAAAATATGGGGTTAGAATTTATTGAAAATGGGTGAACTTTTAATGGAGAAGCCTCCCATTCAATGGGATCCGGCTCCCCTCCATTATCCCTTCCCTCCATTTCATCAAGATTATATTATATTAACAAATGTCATAACCATAGTTAAGTCAACTAATTTTAAAAAACTACTCTCTAAATTTGATAAAAAATTTACAATATATTTCATACAAAATTTAATATTTATTAATACCAACTTCACAAATCAACAATCCATATGGTCACTAGATTTTATCCACTTTAATGGATTCGTAAAAGCACTACATTTTAGGTAAGTTTAATTACTTTTATATATTCTTTCTATTTTAAAGAAACAATAAATAATAGAAGTAATATTACTATTTTATTCTTTGACTTTATTAAATTTAATGTTTTGAGAAATGTGTTAGATGATAAATACTCCCCCTGTCCCTAATTACTTGTCCATTTTGATAAATTAAGAAAAAATATTTTTTTTTTACCTATTATACCCTCAATTAATTGCTTTGAAAAATGTAGAACTTCTTGAAACTCTTAAGTTTTTAATTCATCCACTTTATCATTAATAGGGGTAAAATGGTAAACTCAGTATGTCAATTATTATTTTCTTAATAGATGTGTCAATTTAAAAGTGGACAAGTAATTAGGGACATAGTGAGTAGTATTTAATCGCAAGGGTACAATAGACAAAAAAGGCAAATTATCTCATGATTTTCTAAACTAGACAAGTATTGTTGTATTGTTGAACAACTATTTGTAGGATCCGTTTGGCCATAGATTTTCTAAGTAAAATTTGAGGGGGGGGGGGGGGGGAGGGGGGGGGTTGGCAAATAGTGTTTGTCCATACAATTTGCCATTATTTGACAAATATTTTTGATAAATAACCCAACTTTCCAATTACTAGAAAAAACCAGTATATGAGCTAAATATGATTATTTGAGAGCTTTTAAAAATTCAAATTCTACATCAAACTTTTATTTATTTTTATAAAATCATCCTCTATAGTAGTTGCTTGTGTTGCATTACATAATTTTTTAACGTGAACGCCAAAGCAATGATGGAATATTCGGGTGAATATGAAATTGATTATATAATAATTGTTGATGAAAATGACGAACAATCGACTCGGGGTAATAAAGTCATGTGATTCATCTACTTCACAATGTATGGAATGATGCTTGTTGCACTCACCCCGAACTACCACATTGCTCCAATGTCATGGACACTACTTGTTATTTGTTGCAACAAAGATCTAATTGAATTGTTACGGAATTCAAGAATCTTGTTACGTCGATGTTTCTATCTTGCTATGTAATACTAACATGTGGTTATATTTGATAGTTTTTTAAAACTTATGGGTATAAATTATATTTCTTAGAAAAGTGAAATATGTTTCCTAAATATTATGATCAAACACATGGTGAAATTTCACCCAAATTTTTACCTAAATAATATTTGGAATATATAATGGCCAAATGTTAGCTTAGTATAGTGGACGACTCTTGTTAGACGAAGGGAGTAATAAAATAATTTGTTCCTTGTGATGACTCTCTTAGTATCTCATATGAGAAGGAACTGACCAAAAATAATGACTTATTAGCCTTACCCTTGAGTATGGGCAAGTGATAAGTGGACCCTCAACTCTCAAGTAGAATGGGTCAGCTAGCTATTGAACAAAAAGGTTCCCAACAATATATTCTGTGTACCAAAAGGCAAAAGAAAAAATGTCCCACACTACCAATAAGATTTTTTGTTCTTCTTTTTTCAAGCATATACGTTTCAAGTAAATTTACTGTTAATTTCCTTTTGGTAAAACAAATACTTCATTAATAGTCCATACACGTATCTTTCATTCATGTATCCGTTGGAATTTGTACAATACTTTTTTAAATTTGTCCGTTACTATACTTGTTCAAACTTCAAAAAAATATTAGTATTAAAAAATATTCTGACCATATCTACAATCTCCATATTTCTAGCTCGTGATATGTTTTCCTTCTCTCCTGGAACAGAGAATAAAATCAAACTATTTACTGCACAGATAGCGGCAAAGTTGGCACCCTTTTTGACCATTTTCTGAACAAAGAAAGAAAATAATTACTACTGCCTTTTGTTCTATAATAAAAACTAGAAAAATGAAAGCCAAAAATTTAAACTTTTTATGAATTTTATGAACATTTTAAGATATCTTTATTTTTTAATCATATTGATATGTGAAGAATATCAATTTATAGTATTTTTTTTAAAGTATAGTTTTGAAGTCTATTGACTTTCACAAGAATAAAGGATATAAATAATTAATAACTACTATATACATGAATTGTGTGTTTTGGTGGGTGAGTGTGACTATTTCTTAAGATTCGAGAATGATGAAGATACTAAAAAATAATACAAATAATATCACGAGATATTAACAAGACTTTTTTTTTTTTTTGGTTTCACACCTGGTGTCCGGAGTCCACATTGGAACTTCGATTAAATTCAGATCGCGCTCTGCATGGCCCATTCGGGGGTGGCGCTCCCAACATGATTTTCTCCATACCCAGGGCTCGAACTCGAGACCTTTGATTAAGGGTAAAACACTCCCACCAGTGCACCACAATCCATGTTGGTGATATTAACAAGACTTGTATGCTAGGACTTTCAAACTAGTCACATTTTAATAAGTTCAAATTAAAACTGTAAGTCTAACTAAATTTGCGTGATGAACATTATAAGGACAATGTTTATCGTCATGCTATTGAAATTTATTCCCAAGTTACTAAAAGAGAAGAAAATATATCTAAATATAGTAGAGATCTTCCCGTCTTGTTCCAGTAACATGGACTCATTCGATCGAAAGAAAATACTTGAGACTAGACATTAGGTCAAGTAACAAAGAGAATTGACATAATATATTTGCATGTAACCATTTTCTATTCCTTTTTTTTCGTTTGCATGATACCATTTTTATATAGCTCTAGAATACATATTCAATATGTATGCCAAATTAATGTATATCATACACCCACAGGACCATCAATTAGAAAATAAACTCACGAGTCCTTAACATATGCTGACCTATAAACTAACTCCCATTCCAAATCCATAAAAATCTCAATGTCCTCATTTGTTGTCCCCTATTTCTCCATTCTGTTTAGTTCTTGTTATAGTGGATAAAAGTCTCACATTGGTTGAAAATTGGACTGGTGATCTCCTTATATGGACTTGGGCAATTCTCCCCTCATGTGTCATATCTTTACATAGTATCAGAGCCAGGTTCATCCCCATTTGGACTCTCGATCCATGCTCCAATTTACATGTTCTCTCCGTTTAAAAAAGTATGACCTAATTTGACTTGGAACGAAGTTTCAGAAAAGAAATAAACTTTTTAATATTGTGCTTCTAAGCTAAATATATCAAATGTACCAAAATGTCCTTTAATCGTGTGACCTTAAATATGCGTGAAAAATTAAAGTTAAAGTGTTATCAAAAAGAAAATGGATCATTCTTTTTTAAACAGATTAAAAAGAAAATTATGTCATTCTTTTTCAAACGGATGAAATAATTATTTTTTATTCAAATGCCACTTCCCCTTAAAACGACAAATTTGCCTCGATTGTACTAATTCTATTTGCCGTACACTACAACTGGCCTCTATATCCCTAATGCCTGTCAAAAATATTACTTCTATTAAACCCTTATGGCTACAGTCACCTGTCCTGTCCATACTCCGAATAATGTGAAAGATAAAAAAGATTGGAACAGGTGGATCAATTCTAAGATTGCGAGTTTTAGTCACCAAAAAAACGAGAAGAGGTTTCAAAATTTGGTAAAATTGAGAATTAATTTCATCGTTGAATTTTATGTGAACAAAAAAAATAATAATCTAAATCTTCCCAATCCAACATAAGTTATGCTAACAATTTAAAAGTACGTAGAATTAGAAGTTATAAGTAGATAAAGTCGATTATACGTACAAAAAAATGTTTACTAGACAATACACGGCCACAAGACACTTTTGCTTGTTTCCTTGTTAGAGCCTGATTAGAATTGGGCCGAGGCAAATAGGCCTATAAAATACATATAAGGCCTTAGGTTTACTAATCCATATATATCCCCTTTTACAGTTACATAATTAATAAGGAAAAATGTATGAAATAACAAAATATTAATTCAAATTAAATGTTATAGCCATATTTTCTTTTATTTGTAATTCGCAGCAAACATTCCATGTTTTTTGTCATCCCATTTGTATACTGAAATATACAAATAGACCCATTCGGTATACATATGTGTTGTATAAAAATTAATCGCAGGATCCATTTGTATACCGAAATATACAAATAGACCCATTCGGTATACATATGTGTTGTATAAAAATTAATTGCAGGACCCATTTGTATATCGAAATAT